GCTGGCGCGTTTCGGGGCGTGTTCGTCAATCTCCGGGCGGCCGGGGTTTGCGGCACGACCCGCGCCTTCCTCGATGTGTTGTGTGGTGGACGGTGCGCCATGTGGTCTTCGCTCTTCTTTGCCGTATTGGTTAAGACGGGTTATGGGTTATGTGTGCCTGGGAATATTTTGTTGTAATTTTTGTTGCTGTTTTGGGGATTGTAGTTGACGTGGTGATGTAAAGATGGTACTTTTCTAAATTTCATTAAGAAAAAAATGTATGACCTTTTTTTTTTGACATATCTTCATTGTTTAAGGGAAGCGAAGAAAACAAACCTTGGTAAGGTGCTCTGTCTGATGTCGTCAAGAACAGCTGCCTTTCAGGCCGACATTCTGGAATGGTTACTGGCGAATAAGGCTCCTCTGCGTATTCTCCGAAGGGAGAGGTACAAAATGGAGAAGGGATTTATTGGTTACTTCAAAGACTTTAAAGATACGATTAGGGAAATTCGGGGTGGAAGCAACAAGGAGACGCAGGTTGCCGTTGATCAGAAGCAGGAATCTAGTGGAGCTCGATCCATGAGCCAGTTCTATGAATCAGAAGAACTTACCAAGCGGATGAAGTGGAAGCGTGTCACATGGGATGATGATGCCAATTATAGCGCGTTTTCGCGGCGTGTACTGGATAACGATGCATTGCTAAAAAATGTATCCGCGTTTTCATTCTTATCGATTCACGTCGTAAAGGACCCTGCGTCAACAGACTGTGTAAATTTCCCACCCTCTGAGAAGAATATTGAGCTTGGAACGCTAACGAATTGGGTTCTTCAAGAACGTGATCCCGTAGCTGTTGAAAAGTATTCGTCAAAAGGAACAAAGGGATCTCGCGGTGCATTTACAGTAGATTGGACTGCCGGAGAGGTGAAAGTGGCGGATACTGCGTCAGTCCAGGAGGTTATGACATTTCTTCTTACAGTCGCACCTCGACTTCAGGCCCTGCAAATGCGTATGGAGGAACAACAGACCACTATAACTGATGATGTCCAAAACGTGAAAATACGAGTTGGAGTAGATATTAAATTCAACGAGCATGATACAAGCTTTTGGGATGACCCAAAGCGAGTAACGTATCCTGAATATGTTAATCCCGACGATGTTCAACGATTTCTTCAGGGTATGTTGAAGTCTCCGTTTCTTTATCGTTGGTTTTTGAAAGGACAGGGTCTTCGCATTCTACCTCCAGGTATGCCTTACTTTATTGATATGGAAAAGAAAGAAGTGCATCTCCCGGCAAATTTTACTGATTACAGCTGGCGTGCTGCTCATAGACGCTTTGAGAAAATCGAGTATTTTTGCGCCATTATGCGATCTTTGTGGTGGCTTTGGTTTTCTTTGGCGATTGTGATTGTAGGAGATGTTGAGCTGTTGTGATTCAGCTGAAGAAAACACAAGTATCATTAATCATCACATCGAGCAGGTAATGAAAAGAACTAATTTTACCGTCTGTATGACATGCTTATATTTCTATTATTGTATTCTTTATTTATGTATATGTATATATACATATATAGATACCATTACTCGGGTTCTTTTTTTTTTTTTTTTTTTTTGGTCCTTCCATTAAGATTTTAATTCTATCTAGTTTGCCGGTGAAAAAGATGCCCCGTGCCGCCCTAATGAAGGAAGCGTTTGAGCTTCTTCAAAAGGATGGGAAGATACCGAAGGCCTCGGTTCCAACGGCCCTCCGCGCGGCAGGTTTAAATCCAAGCGAAGAGAGGATAAAGGAAATTATGGCCACTACAACCGACCTTGATATGACTGGATATGAAGCACTTGTTGCGAAGCATGACGACAAGACAGATACTCCAGATGCAGTTAAGGAGGCATTTCGTGTCTTTGACAAGGATCTTGATGGAACGGTTTCGGTCGCGGAGTTTCGTCATATTATGACGACAATGGGAGAAAAATATACCGAAGAGGAGTTTCGTGACCTGATTCAAGGTTTTGATGACAATGGTGTTATTCACTACGAGAAGTTTGTGTCAAAGATGCTGGCTCCTTTTACAGATCACGGGAATCCAGAAGATATGGTTTAGAAGCATGTAATGAAGCGGATTTTCGTTTTTTAGTCTAGTTTCATTCTCGAATGTCAATTTATCTGATGAATTTCGTTTAAATTTGTTATTGTTATTATTAGATTTATTGTTATTACTATTGTTCTGCTATTGATGTTGTACGAAATTCTTTTTTTCTAACTTTTACGTGTTTTGCTGGTTTCGTTCATTGCCCAGGAAAGCAGTGGGAACGTACTAAGGAAAGCGAAGAAACAAAATGGTAAAAGTAAATACCATCAGCCGATCAGATTTGGAATGGACAAAAGACCGAAACGGGGAGGTTCCGCGAGTGAATCGCAATTATGATAGCAAATACAATCCTATGTCTAAACAAGTGGAATTCACGCGCGCCATTCGTGCGGCAAAGCTCGATCGCATGTTTGCAAAACCGTTTGTTGGTGCGCTGTCAGGGCATCAGGATACTATACAGTCAATTGCTGTCGATTACACCAGCTTGTCTACTGTTGTTAGTGGAGCAATTGATGGTGGTATGATTGTGTGGGATGCTTTCACAAAACGACCCAAGGCAACTATTGATGCACATCGTCATTCTATTGATGGACTTGTTGTGTCTCCTGATGGTGTTGCTTGCTTTAGTGCTTCTCGCGATAAGGTTGTTAAAATGTGGGATTTAGATTTCTCTACAGGTGAATCTAAAGTCGAACCTTTGACCGAATTTCTCGGAGAGTTTCCGTTTTCTTCTATTGATCATCACTTCCAGAAATCACTTTTTGTGACTTCTTCTGATGTTGTGCAGGTGTGGGATGTGAACAGAACCCAGCCTCTTCAACGTTTTTCGTGGGGTGACGATACGGTTTCTAGCTGCCGCTTCAATAAGGTGGAGACAAATTTGGTGGCATGCTGCATGACGGATCGTGGTGTTTTCATTTATGATACGAGAACACAAGCAGCTCACTCCAAGATCATTATGGAGATGTGCTGCACTTGTCTTTCATGGAATCCTATGGATCCGAATACATTTGTCGCTGGGAGTGATGATCGAAATTGTTATCTGTTTGATATGCGTGTTCTTGGGCGCCCAAAAAGCGTTTTTCAAGGACATATTAATGGTGTGACATCTGTTGACTTTTCTCCAACTGGGAAAAAATTTGTTGCTGGATCTCTTGATTGTACTCTGCGCATGTGGGATCTTCATCAAACTACGAAGTCTAACTCTATTGAGATGTATCATACCAAACGTATGGCTAAAGTTTTCTCCGTCAAGTGGTCCCCAGATAGCAGTTATTTGTATAGCGGGAGTGAGGATGCTATTCTTCGCATATGGAAGGCAGATGCAAGCAAGCCGATTCGTCCTCTCCGAGGCCCGGAAAAGAATACTTTCAACTACATGAGATCTTTGAAGAATAGGTATTCTGGTTTTGTGGAAGTGAAAAGAATTGTTAATCAACGGAACACACCGAAAGCTATCAGTAGAGCCCAGCGTCGCACCAAAAAGGCAGAAAAACGGGAACTTGTTAAGGAAGCGTCCCGGCGAAGGAGTGACGATATCAAACCACTTGCAAAACGCAAGGTTTATCAGTCTCTTAAATAAGTTGTTGGCTAGCAGCGTCTTGAAGTTTCGTCGTTTAATGAATTTATACATCATCATCATTATCATCATGATTACAATACCATGTTTTTGCATTAACTTTTGTTCGGCTACCTTTATTTTCAATGTTGGTTTTACTTCTGATTAAAGAGTTGACTCTCTTTTTCTTTCTTTCTTTCTTTCTTTTGTATTTTGCTTTCTCTTTAGTAATCACGGAGCTGGCTCCTACAAAGAATGACATCGCTGTCTCGGTACGCTTTTAAAGCGGACTACTATGATCCTCAGGCAAACCTCACCCGTCACTATTTGTTCCTTTTTTATAAGGAGGACAATACGGTAGAAATGCACGACCTTAAAACAAAACGTGTTTTTCTAAAAAGGTGTGCTTATCCATCATTAAGTCTACATGAACTTTTTATTGGCGCCACAGTAAGCATTTTTTCACGTTCTTTGAAACTAGTGGATTACGGTGATGAGGCAACGCGTCGGCACTTTTCAGCAGCTATGGGCGAGTTCATTGTGATTATTACAGAGAAGGGTCTTCTTCGTGCTGGAAATATTGTGGACAAGATTATTTCAAAGGGGCTGAGAATTTCGAACGTCCGACTAGTGAATTTACCAGATGATATGGCTTCTGAATTTGCTGTCTCGAGACGGTGTATTGTCACTCTGGTGAAGGGATCAGACGCGATGGAAAAGGTTTCCGCGTTAAACGAGGCATTTCCAGGTTTGACTACAATAGTATCAAATCCTGAGGATGTGAGTGCACTTTCCAATGTGGCATTTGGCCCTGGTGAAACAACAGCGGTGATGAAAAACTGTTCTGTTTGTGTAATCAAACCGCATGCGATAACAAGTGGTTATCAGGGTGCTATTCTTCAACGTCTAATTGATGAGGGTTTTTACATCAGCGCTCTGGGAATGTACACCTTAACCATGGCGGATGCAGAGGATTTTCTCGAAGTTTACAACGGTGTTGTACCTGAATATCAGAGACTTGTAGAGCAGATGTACAGCGGTCCCTGTTGGGTGGTAGAAGTATGTGCCGAGAATGCAGTGGCATCTCTTCGTGCCGTTTGCGGACCACACGACCCAGAGGTATGTCATGTACTCTTTCCTCACACAATCCGCTCAAAATATGGTGTTGATCGCACCAGGAACGGTGTGCATTGCACAGACTTAGAGGAAGACGCACCACTAGAGTCGGAGTTCTTCTTTTCGCTGCTTCAAAACCTTTAGCATATGGAATACTCCCATAGATGAGATGGCCTCTTGCCTGAAACTTGTTTTGTCTTCCCCATTTTTTTCTGTGTGAGTGTGGCGGGGGACATGTATAAAGTTCTTCATTTTGGCTTTGTTATTTTACCCCATGTACCATGGTGTGTTCGTGCCATCCTTTCTGAAGCCAAAGGATAATTGTAATGTTTATGCCTTGATAAAAAAAAAACATCTTGGCAAGGAGAGTGAGCTTTTTTTTTTGATTCTCGTCATCCAAAGAAAAGGATAACAGCAAGGAAGACAGAGAAACACTTTACAGAATGATTCAGCCTCAACTGATTCTGCTTCGGGAAGGAACCGATACATCTCAAGGTAAGCCACAATTAATCAGCAACATTAATGCTTGCATGAATGTGGTCGACACCGTGAAGACAACGCTTGGTCCGTGTGGAATGGACAAATTGATTCACAATGGCAGTGACGTTAACATCTCCAATGATGGGGCGACTATCATGAACCTGTTGGAGATTGTCCACCCTGCGGCCAAGAGCCTCGTGGACATTGCCATGTCACAGGATCACGAAGTCGGTGACGGAACTACTTCCGTTGTTATTCTGGCAGGTGAACTTCTCAAGGAGGCAAAAACATGCGTGGAGGATGGAATTGCCCCGCAGGTCATAATCAAGGCTTATCGCACAGCCTTGTCAGTTGCGATGAAGACTTTGGATGAACTTTGTATTCCATTTGATTCGAGGTCTGAAGAAGGACGCAAAAACCTTGTGCGCTGCGCCGCAACAGCGCTGAACTCAAAACTGATCAATACTGAGTGCCATTTCTTCGCCAAAATGGCTACAGATGCTGTTTTGGCGCTTGATGACGACTTGAATCTCGACATGATTGGCATCAAGAAGGTTCCAGGAGGCAGCATGCGTGAAAGTATTCTTGTTGACGGTGTGGCCTTCAAAAAGACATTCTCTTACGCCGGGTTTGAGCAGCAGCGCAAGAAATTTGAAAATCCCAAGGTGCTGTTGCTGAACGTTGAACTAGAGCTCAAGGCAGAAAAGGATAATGCGGAGGTGCGTGTTAAGGACCCCAAGCAATATCAGTCCATCGTGGACGCTGAGTGGAAGATTATTTTTGACAAGATGGAAAAATGCGTTAGGACTGGCGCAAAGATTGTCCTTTCTCGGCTTCCCATCGGTGACTTAGCGACACAGTACTTTGCTGACCGCGATGTCTTCTGCGCTGGACGTGTGGCTGCAGATGATATGGCCCGTGTAGCTTTGGCAACGGGTGGTGTTGTGCAGTCTACAGTGAACGACATCCCTGAAGAAGTATTGGGCAACTGCGCTACTTTTGAAGAACGACAGGTTGGAACGGAGCGCTACAACTTTTTCACTGGTTGCAAAAACTCTAAAACAGCAACAATCATCCTTCGTGGTGGGGCGCAACAGTTCATCGACGAGGCAGACCGTTCCCTTCATGACGCTATTTGTATTGTAAAGCGTGCCTACAAGACAGGATCTGTTGTGGGTGGTGGCGGTGCAGTTGAGATGGAGCTCAGCAAGGTGCTTCGCGAGTACTCTCGCACTATCCGTGGGAAGGAACAGATGGTAATCAGTGGATTTGCGCGTGCGTTGGAGGTTATTCCGCGGCAGCTGTCCGAGAATGCTGGGCACGACAGCACCGACACCCTTAACAAGCTCCGTCAGAAGCACTACATCACGGGCAGCAGCGGTAAGTGGTATGGCGTGGACATTATAAATGGTGGTGTCTGTGACACGTTTGAACGCTTTGTCTGGGAGCCAACACTAGTTAAGCGGAATGCCATTCAGAGCGCCACGGAGGCGGCGTGTCTAATTCTTTCGATCGATGAAACCGTAACTAACCCAGAGTCAGACGCAGGAAAGAAGCAGGCTGCTGCTGCCGCTGGTCGCGGCGGTGGCGGCGCGATGCCTGTCAGCAGGGCTGGCATGGGCGGCATGTTTAAGGGCGCGCCCGGTGTGACGAAGATGAAGGGCCGTGCCGGTCGATGACGGACGTGACTGCGGCGTTCTCCACAATTTAGAGCTAATAAATAAAGAAGAAAACCCACGAAAAAAAAAGCGACAGAAACAAAAAAAAAATGAAAAGGAGTAGCCCTAACCTATTCTAAAGAAACACGATGCACTTATTCGCATGCGCACATGTACAAAGAGAGACGTATACGTTTCTCTCGTAGTTTGTGTGAATGGGTTGATCTGATAGTTCCTAGATGCTTGTCGTAACGTGTGGCCGTGATATCGGCGTGATTGCTCATGTTTGTGCTTTGGCCCCTTTTTGTTAGCCCCCTTTTTACTGGTGCAGAAAAGGGTAGGCAAAAAGTTAGCAAAAAAAAAATACTTAGTGTAGCGTCGTGCTGATAGGGATAAAGCAGAGTTGACTGGTTAAAGGTTCCCACGTTGAATAACGCAGTTTCTATTTTAATTACGATTGCTACTAGGTGCCGAAATCATGCTGCGTCGATCTTTTGTGGCGTTTCCGTGGTGGAACTTTCAAACAGAGCATCGGCAGCGATGTGTCATGATGTACGGTGGTGCTCGTACAATGAACACACACAATGCAAATCACCGCGTTTTCATTAAAAAGTACAAACGCAATGCATTTCCAAATAGAACGCGGCACCATTGGGCTGTATCCATGACGGGTGTACTTGGCCAGCGTCCACGCCGTATGCCGTGGCCGTACGATCTAACGTCCTTGATTTTTAACCAGCCACGTCAGGGTTCTGACAAGATTGGCTATGTGGTGGGCACAAGCATGCTCAAGACGGCTGTCGTGTCAACCAATCATATGGTGTATTATCCAAAATTCAATCAACGCGTTGCGCGCACCAGTCGATTCTTCGCACATGACGAAGATTTGGCGTGTGTTGAGGGAGACTTGGTGCATATCAAGCAGTGTCGAAAGATATCCAAGTACAAACATTATTATGTGTTTAGCATACTGGAACCAAACATTGAAGGTCGTGAGCGACTTAAATTAGGGCTAAAGGCCGTCCCTCCGCCATTGTTTGGATACCCTGTTTCGCGTCGTATCGTGAAGCTCAATTTGACAAACACAGAGGGCACAAAGGAAAAGCTGGCTGCTGTTATTCAGGAACACGTACAGGACGCTTACAGATATGCTGGGCCGACACCGGATCAGCCACGGAATCGTCTAACTGATTCAACAACATTTGACGAAGCGAACCGTATGATTGCACCGAATGCCCCAGCGACGCCGGCGCTGGAAGGTGAAGAGAGTCCATCCTTGCTGGGGGACAAGGAGGACTACACAGAGGTGGAGAACGACACACGGTACAAGAAGGGTGATGACTACTGGATGAATTTGCAGCCCAAAGAAAAGTACGACTTCAAGGGCTTCAAGAAGTCTCCGTAGAAGAATGTGTTCATTTCTTTCAATGACGGTAATCTGAGACATGACCGAGACAAATGTGGTGACTTCCTGACGATGTACCGTGTACCTTTTTTGCGCTTGTTTTTATTTTTATTTTTTTTGTGTTTGCTTGTTTATTTGTTTGAATTCTTTTAGTTTATTGCTCTGGTTCGTTTTGCTTATTTGAACAGGGTAAAAGTTACGCGTCAATACAAGATCAAGTCGTGCAATGCCGGGATTCTCCTTTGACAACGTTCAGCGAAACCTCAACCTTCAACAGCAAGGATTGCATCCCCCTAAGACCCTCAAGACAGGTACAACCATTGTGGGAGTGGTCTTCAAGGATGGCGTAGTTCTGGGTGCTGATACCCGTGCAACTGAGGGCAGCATCGTGGCGGACAAGCGGTGCAAAAAGATTCACTACATGGCACCTAATATCATGTGCTGTGGTGCGGGAACTGCGGCTGACACCGAGGCTGTGACAAATACAGTCGCCGCTAACCTGGCGCTTCACCGGCTCGAGACAGGAAAACAGTCGCGTGTGCACGAAGCACTTACTTTGCTGAAGCGCCACTTGTACAGGTACCAGGGCCACGTGAGTGCTGCGCTGGTCCTCGGCGGTGTAGATGTAGGAGGGCCGTACCTGGCCACTGTGGCGCCGCACGGTAGCACCGACCGCCTCCCCTTTGTGACAATGGGGAGCGGTTCCATCGCTGCCATGTCAGCGCTCGAGACTGGCTACAAGGACAATTTGCCACTCGAAGAAGCGAAGGAGCTGGTGGCGTCGGCGATCCGGAAAGGCATCTTCAACGACCCGTACAGCGGGACACAGGTGGATCTGTGCGTCATCACGAAGGCGAAGACGGAGCTGCTGATTGGGTATGACAAACCGAATGAACGCAAATACCCGAGACAGGATATCAGGTTTCCACCTGGCACAACGCCGGTGCTGAGGGAGGAAATACGAAGTTTGGTGACAATCACGGATGTTGAGTGACAAGGAAAAGTAAGCAAATGAAAAGAGGAAAGAAAAGAAGAGGAATGCAGTCCCTAGAGTGCACAACCAAGAGTGACACTGAGCGAACTGAGCAAAAAAAAAAAACAAAGTGAACAAAAGGACGAATACAAGGACGCCTTTCTGTTCTACTAGGGAAATCGCGATCAGACAGTCACAGCCGTTCATCTTTTCATTGAGTACACGTGGGCCCATCTCTGCAGGCCTGTGGTATGCTGCTCTTGGATTTTTTTTTGACTCTTTTGTTCCCTTTCCCCCCTCAGTGTCTTCTTTTTTCTTTTTCTTTTTCTTTCCTCCAATTACTCAAGTACAGATAGTCTCTCTTTTATTTTGTTTTGCTCTTGAAAGAGGTAAGTGTTGCTTGTATTTCAAGAGGAAGAAAATGGATGTTGAGGCCATGGAGGGTGTACCAATGGGCTGTCGACAGCTTCAATTGCGCGTCACGCACTGGTGACTTTCAGTGGGGACAATCAAAATATACGAATTGGGTTGCGCAATGAGGCTCAAGCAAGGGAAGCGATCACCCCCTTGTAGTCTCCGTTTGATTATTCATTATTCCACCCATAGTTTTGGCACTGGAGGCACCCAATGATGTTGGAAACAGATACTGGGGTTTGAATTGACGCAGCTTGGACCATACTGGACATATTTCTTCCCTTCACGAACGGACGGAACACGTTTCTCCGCTTCGGGGCATTTAAACAACACAGAGGTCATTTTGGGTTCTCTGCTGCTTCACCCTCCAGTTAGGCGCACACAACTCTGAGTATTTGTCTGGGAAATAGATTCCGGGCGCCTATAATCTTCACGGCAGCTAGAAAATTGTGGTAGTACTAAGGTGCCTTTTTTTGACATGGATTGGAAGCGTTGCCAAAATGGTTGGAAGGTTGAGAGAGCTTTGTTTAGGCGTCGTGAAGTGGCTCTATGAGAGCGTAATATTTTTGTGGTGGTACACATTTTGATACTTAAAAAGCAATACTATTTGGGGGGTTCTTTTTTGTTGCAAATGAATTTAAATTCAAGACGAGTGGTACTCCAACCTATCATGACGTTGTGATGTATGAGGAGGAGAGTGTGCTCTCGAAGTCATTGTGTGATCTTATGTTTTGTCACACAGTACTCAGTTTCAGTGTTGTTTTATTTATTTGCTTGCATTGGTATTTGTTGTTATGTCTTTCGTGATGGCACTGCCATTAATGTAATGATCACGGAGTTGCATGTAATGATTAGTGATGCTAACCATCTTATTTTGTATACCATGGGATTCTTTGGTGGTGCGGTTTATTTTACATCAAACCTTCATGTGTGTCTGGATAGAGTTCATCTCTTGTTTTTCTGATTTGTTTTACTCCTGCTCACTTGTGTTTGTTTCCTCCTCTGCCACCGCAGCTGTGGGTGTCATATACACCCACAAACACATAGTAGGTTCTTCCATTCGCTTGGAGGTCACTTGAACTCAAGCTCTTGAGGTGTCATGAGCACACGTTTAGCCAGATGCGACCCACGGCTGTTGGATTTTGTCACTTGGGCTGTACTAAAAGGATGCCGCTTGTTCCAGCGTGTTCATATAACGCCATTGGGGCTTATGGCAACAAGCACAATACCTGCGTACGACTTCGTGGCTGTTGTGCCTACCTCTGCGACGCTGAGTGTCATCACTGTGGCGGAGGACCAGTCGTTCCCGCTGAAGGTTTCACCTGAGAATCATGGTGATGAACTTGCATTCTGGCCAGACCTCACGTGGGGGTCATTTGTCTTGATTGGGTACCTTGCTAAGGCGCTACGGACGGGCTATCCGCGGGGTGTGCGCAGCTACTTGGACGTGTTACCGTTCGACCAGGGCATGCCTATAGGTCGTGTCGCTGATGTTGCACAAAAGTCGCACGGTTACAAGGAGTTGGTAGCACCTCTCAAAAATGCTTGTAAGGCACAAGATGCTGACTTTAATTTAGCCTTTAGACATGCGTACTGTCTTTTTCGGCGACATGCGATACCGTTCTGGAGCAATACAGAGGTGGGAAGTGGGGGTCACCCAGGCTTTCAACGATCCCCTTTTGCTGAGTCAGGGCATGGTGACATTATTGGTATGGTCCCAGTACTGGATCTCGCACTGCACTCACCAGAGCCCAATGCGGCCATCGGTTACCCTGACACTGATATGCTGCAGTGGTTGGCACAAGAGAAAAAGGCTGGGATACAGATGGAAAAGGGTTACTTTGTCATGCAGGCTCTACGAGAGATTCATGAGGGCGAGACTATTTCGGTAGACAAGAATGCATACTTTAACTTTGATGATGCCATGTTCAAGGCGTGGTTCGGTTACCCGAATGCATCGCAGCTTCTTCAGGGCAAGAATGGAGCGAAGGTGAGTACGGATAACTCTGAATATACTCTGGAACCGTGAAACCAAAGGTGTACGCCGAGTTAAGGTTGTCGAAAACAGCAAGTGTATTATATGTTTGTAGCTCCTGCCCACAGACACACTTACGGAGTGTTTAGTGCAGTGGTTCACCTACTCATGCACTTGCAAGATGTTTGTTGGGTCGTTGTGAGAGCATTTTTTAAATTTCTTTGAATCGAGTCTCGTGATGACTATAGAAAAATGTGTTTTTTTTTTTCGTCTGTGCGCTATTTGATAGTGGGTGGTGTAGTGCAGTTTGGCTGGGATCTAAGCGGAGAGAGAAGAAAAGAGCGAGAGAGAGGGATACAACCCTGTTACAATCCGTTTTTCATGAGGACCGTGGAGTACAAACTGGCACGCTTGGAGGAGCAGAACGCGGCTCTCCATAGAAAGCTGCGCCACCAGGAGAACGAAATTAGTCGCCTGTCCGTCCGGGAGTCGCAGCTGAAGGAGGCCCGGCGCATTCCGCTTCTCCAAAAGCGCCTCGACGATGCGCTTGCGGAGTGCGAGGATCTCGAGTGCCAACTCATCGAGACACGCGGCAGGGAGGTAAAGTTGTCGGATGAGGTCAACCTCCTGCGCACGTTTGTACAGCTAGACAAGAACCCGGCACTCGCTGAGGCAGCGCGGCAGCGCGCGAGCGACGACCGCATTCAGGAGGAGCTCAAGGCGCTTGGCGTGCAGCTCCGCACCATCGCCGAGGAGCGCGACGAGTACAAGAAACGGGCTCTTCTTTCCTGTGAAGAGGCGGAGTATTACCGTGACAAGTGGAATTCCTCCTTTAGTGAAAAACAGAGATTAGAGGAATACATAAAGAAGCTTCTTGCCGAACAGAAGGCAAGCGTAGGGGTGTTTCCATCACCTTGCGTGGCTTTGGAGCAGCGTTCGTCTCTGGAAGTAATTGATGAGGGACGCCACGGTACAAATGGTATACAACATCTCCGGCGTAGTCTTGAAGAGGAAAGAACCCGCAACGAGACCCTCCAGGAAACTCTAGATGCATTGTATGAGCAGCAAAAGGAACATCGTCGTTCACGCTCTCATGAGCGACCCCCAAGTATTCCTGTAGACCCTCCTAGTGGGATGAATACCCCTGGGCAATGCGACTCTGACAGTGCTATGCAGGCGCTACGGCAGCAGGTTGCGCTCGCAGAGGGCGAGTGCGTCTTGCTAACGAAGAGATGGCGTGCTCTCAGCGAGCAGAACCAAAGCTTGCTCGAGCGTCTGGCCGAACAAGAACGCATGGAAGTGTCTTGGCGTAATCAGCTTCACCAAATGTCGATGGAGTGCGAGCGGCTGAAGCGTGAGCTCGAGTTGGTGTCTCAGGCAAGGTCGTTAGTTTCACGCCACCATGGCAAGTCTTGCAATGACTAAGGTGGATTGGTGCATTAAACGATGCACGACCAACTGGATTTGCATCTTGTTTTATCTTGTTTGGTAGATGGCATTGATGTCCCCGTGCTTCTTTTTTGCTTTTTTTTGTGTATTGTGGGGTCACTTATCTGTACTTTTCGTTCTCTTACAATTGGCTACAGCTTCTGTTTTTGGCGGTGGTGTAGTTGAAAGGACGAAGTAGTAGGGACGAAACAAAGAGATGTCGCAGCTATGGGTAAAGCGTGCAAAGGCGGAAGTGTCACGCCACTCCCGCCTCCTTGAAACACTGAATCGCGTTTTCCCCATGCCGTTTGAGGAGCGACGTTCGCGTGTAGGTATGGTCTCGTACGGCACGTACCGCTGGTTTCGCTACTTTCCAATAGTGCTTGTCCCTGCTGTGGTGGTTGGGGCAATTCTTGAGACACGTGACATTCCTCAAGAGCACGTCTTCACATCATTGCATCTGTGGCTGGCTGACCACGGTGTGTTCCGCCACGACACAGTTAAGGCACTTAACCCAGCCTTTGAAGATGAACGTCGTTCAATTGAATGGAAGACAAATGACCGCAAGTGGCGGTTTACCGGAATTGACATGCCGTCGGAAAAGGAATTGCGGGAGTTTGCGGCAATCAATATCGAAAAGCAGCGTTTGTCCTCGTCGCGGTGATGCGCTTGGTGGATTCTATTATGTGTCCCCTTTCCACTCATTTCTCTCAAAATCCTGAGTGTGGTACAGAGTTCTTGTTGTTGTTGCTGCACTATTTCCTTATCCTTCACAATGCTAATTATGTCCAGGCTGTGTGCCGTTGTTCAAAAATGATGAAAATTTTCTTTGTTTTAATAATTCCATTATTTCTTATTTCCATTATTACGTGTTGTGCTGCTAGTGAGAATCGCACTACCATGGGAAAGGACCAGGCCAACGTTAAGGGTTGCCGCTTTCGCGTGTCCCTTGCCCTTCCAGTGGCGGCTGTGGTAAACTGCGCCGACAACACGGGCGCAAAGAACCTCTACATCATCTCTGTGAAGGGTTACCACGGCCGTCTGAACCGTCTGCCGGCTGCTGCCCTTGGCGACATGGTGATGGCCTCCGTGAAGAAAGGCAAGCCAGAGCTGCGGCGCAAGGTACTGAACGCTGTCATCATCCGTCAGCGCAAGAGCTGGCGTCGCAAGGACGGCACGGTCATCTACTTCGAGGATAACGCAGGTGTGATCGTCAACCCCAAGGGTGAGATGAAGGGATCCGGTATCGCTGGCCCCGTCGCGAAGGAGGCAGCCGATCTCTGGCCCAAGATCTCCACCCACGCCCCGGCAATTGTGTAAGGTTCACAACCCAGTTCTAGTTTTTCTTTCTTCTGCTTTGAATTCCCTAAAAATAAGCAGTCGTGGGGAGATTGATTTGATGATGGTGGTGGTGGGCTTGTTTGGTTCTACTCTGGTAACGGTGCCTCCATAGTATCCTTTTGTTCTTTTTGTCATTCTTTGGCCTTCTATAGTAGTTATGCCTACCCGCTTAAAGAAGACTCGCCATCAGCGCGGCTCCACGTTCTGCGGCTATGGCCGTGTCGGCAAGCACCGCAAGCATCCCTCTGGCCGCGGTAACGCCGGTGGTCAGCACCACCACCGCATCAACTTTGACAAGTACCACCCCGGATACTTCGGCAAGTGCGGCATGAACCACTACCACGTCAAGAAGAACGCCATGTGGAAGCCGACGATCAACCTGAACAACATCACCAAGCTGATTTCGAGGGACGAGACCCTGAAGGCGAAGAAGGGCGAGGCTCTTCCCGTCGTTGACCTGCTGGCCAGTGGCTACTCGAAGCTGCTCGGCGGTGGCCACCTGCAGGCTCCCTGCATCGTGAAGGCTCGCTGGGTGAGCAAGCTGGCTGACAAGAAGATCCGTAAGGCTGGCGGAGCTGTTGTGCTTCAGGCATAAGACGATTGGGTTGTCAAAGCACTTTGAATCATTTTCTTTTATTTTAAATAGATATTCCTTGTTCTTTCTGCTTCCCTATGAAACTGCTTGTTTAGACGCATGTTTTTAGGCTTACGTATAGTTGTACCAAAAACGCTCTTCTTTTCGCCTTTTTTTGCTATATATATATATATATATATGCGTGTGTGCTGTTGTGATACGTAGTATGTCGTCTGGAGTAGAAGTTCCTTTCCAGACAATTTAGTTTGTGGTGAGCTGTTCTCTTCGGCAGGCACTTGATAAAATGAAGGATGATGAAGCATTCACGAACCTTTTCGGCATTCTAGAGGTGATTCGCGGTGAAGGAATCTCAGTCTTTGCGGACGCGCGTATGATGGAAAAGTACCGTTGCGTGGAGACATTGGCCGCGCTGACGACTCCGCCGCTGAACACTACTGCAGCAGAGTTGCTGGTGCGAAAAGTCTTCCAGGCGTTTGCGAGCACTACCATTGTTGAGTATCAGCGGAAAATGTGCTGTGGTGAAGAATTGCTAGCGCTGCGGCGCCTGCATGAAGACTACCGACGCACCCTACTGCTTCTTAACGATTGGTGCAAGCGTCTGCGTGCGGGGGAGGAAGTTGTAAAGTTCACAGTTTCTCTGCGCTGCCACTTGCTACAGCCAGATCTTCTGACCGGCGAGAGCCCGGCGGGAAAGGAGCAGCTGCTGCGGTTTTTGCGCGAGCACAGACATAAAGTGCTTGACGAAATTGCTGGAGCGGGGGGTAGTGCGACACTCATGCGTGGAATTGTGGGCTACCGCGACGAGGTGCTGCAGCGTTTGCACGGACTCACACTCTCTTTGACGCCAGACCTCAAGGCGCTATGGAAGTCTGTTTTGGTGAAGTGTACACGTGAGCGTATTGAGTCGTTGGACGACGACTTCACTGTTCCGCGCATTCTCTCCTGTATGCAGTGGAAGGATGATGTAATAGACACATTTGTACGCATGGCGCTATCGCCTGACCCCAATAACTCTGATGTGCGTGCCGAGGTGAATCGTTGGTGTGAAGAGTTGGAACAGCTTCTTCTTGTAAGCTACGGCCGTAAGCGCATCGCAAGTTTCTGGGATGTGGTGGTGGAGTATCCAGACTCCATGCCGACGCTACAGGATCTGCGCTTGTGTCTTCTTCGGTGCGCCGACGACACACTCCGAAGTGAGTTGATTCAAACAGCAAAGCGTATGCTGGCGTCGCGACTTCATCGGGCAGGCACACGGACGGAAGACATCCTCGCCATTCTGATGGGAATGATTCATTCTCTCTGTGTGCTGTTGTCAAAGAATGATCAAAGCTCAGTGATTTTCACCATTGTTGGGGATACCCTGGAGCACCTCAAGAAGCGGAAGGACTGTGTCTCCGCTGTTGTACAGGCCATTACACAACCGAGCGCAAATTCGGTTCTACACGTTGATTTGCAGAACTACTCGAGTAACGATTTTGCTGCAGGCGCTGACGGTGGTGATAAAGAAAACGAGGATGATGCATTGCTTATGGCAGGGCAATCGCCAGTGTCCATGCAGGATAGACCTGACGTGTTGCGTGTGCTGTTGTCTGCGATTAGTGTTTCTTCTCTCGTTGAGGAGTATAGACAAGTTTTGGCCTCCCAACTGTTGGGCAAACGCATGCATGACTTTGATACAACTGCAGAGGAAGAAGTATTGGAGCGTTTAAAGTGTGCCTTTGGTGAGGATGTGCTGGCACCTTGTGTTGTGATGATTCGTGATATTCAGGCTTCTCGTCGCTACACACTTCACATGAAAGAGGTCTACCAGCAGTCTGTTGCAGAAGGGCTTCCACAAGAGAAACAACGGGACTGGCCGTTAAGTTTAGATGTTCTCTCCACTACGTCGTGGCCAAAGTTGTCCGCGTGTTTTCCTTCTGGAGAAGTGCAGCCTGTTCCTGATAAGTACAACCCTCATCCGCAGCTTAGCTCTGTGATGGAGAGTGTCATGGAATTGTACAAAGACATGAAGGCGAATCAGCGCCTGGAGTGGATTCTCTCGCAAGGTAGTGTCAGCTTGGAGCTCAAGCAGAAGGAAACCTCAACCGGCGCGATGATTGCAGCAACGTATGACCTTTCACTCTTCTCTGCGTCGCTCGTTTTGTATGTACGTGACATATCGTCGGAGCTCGGTGGTCCAGCGCCTCTGGTAGCTGTGGCGGAGCGCATGGGAATGAAGGCCCACTCCCTGCAGCAGCGGTTGTCGCACCTCTTTCCTTCTATCCTTATTTCTACGGATGGAACTAAAAGTTTGTTGTTGCAAACAAACTATTTGTCGACGTCAAACTTTACTTTTGACGAGGCGGAAGAGAGTGAGGAGCAGCCTGCCGGGCTCTCACAGGATCAGGTGAAGATGCTGCTTTCTATGATGACGGCAATGCTTAAGGCTCGTAAGGCGTGCGGCGTCAACGATATCTTCAACAGTATGAAAATGTTCGGCCAGTTTCAAGGAAGCCTTGAGGATATGAAAAAACTTCTGCAGGTGTTTGTGGCTCAAGGCAAGCTAGTGTTAAACGAGGCGAAGTTGTACACCTTGCCGAAGAAGTAAAATTCCTGCAATCACACAAATTCAACAAGTTGGGTCATAAGGATGTGGAAAATGAAGAGAAAACACAATGGAATTTTTTTTAGTTAAACCGTTGCTTTGTTAGTGGCGTGCGCGCTTGCAGGTTCCATTTGTATTTCTTCTTTGGGTTGCCACCTTCCTCACCCCCCGCTCCAGATCATTGCCACTACTTCGGATATTACCATGGTGGTTATTATCATTATTTTTTTCATGAGTCATAGCACTGCTGCTCTTATTATTTATTTATTTATTACTACTGGGCTCTGCACCCACTGTGTTTTTTATTTTTTTATTTCATTTTCTTTGGTTCTTGAAGAATACTGCAAGGGACGGGGCAATTCCATGAGACATGAGGAGTGGCCGACTTCCCTTTGCGGCACGACAGCATTTTCTCGAGCATGGATACGCCGTTCTTCCTGCAACGCTAGGGGCGCCTCTCATTGAGCGGCTCCGGCCCGCGTTGGTTGCCTCCACAGTGGCACGCGCTCGGCATTTGACTGAAGTTCCTGACATCGAGTCAATGCTGAAGTCCAAGGCGAAGCTGTCTGATCCGCTTTACGAGAAGGTAATGACGCGGCTGCAACGGCGAAGGTATCTGTTACGCCTGTATCGCACAGAGAAGCGACGGCGCAAGCAGCTTGCCCAAGTTGCCGCCAAATTTCTTAACGGCAGAAGGAAGGAGGAGCTCACAGGCGAGGAGTTATGGACGCTAAGCGAGAAGCTTTCGACTGAGGCTGCTAAAATGTCGGGGAAAGGGTGTCAGTCTACGGTTCAGAATGATCCGCAGATGCTAAGGGCCATTAATGAGTATCGCTGTAATGTATGGATGACGAATAAGGAGCTGCAAAGTGTAGTGCGGGACCCTTCCTTCTGGGAGCCTCTAGGTGTCATTGCAACGGATGTTGGCGGCGTCGAGCAGCCCGTTTTGTTTAGCGATGCGTCAATTTTCCGTGAGCCGTATGGTAGCCCATTTGGTTATCACTGCACCGCCCCGACGATCGGTGTGAAGACAAACGGTAGCCATATGGTTGCGGTGTCCCTACTTGTGTTCACACACCGCCCTGACCAGCAGACAATGCCACTGTTCGTCTTGAAGGGCTCACACCGCTTTGTGAGGGAACAGTACATACGCCGTGTCCCACCGGGGGACCTGTCGCTGCCGTTTCTGCCGATGGAGTCGCACATCCCCGAGCAGATTAAGCGATTCCAGTTTGACAGCAGCGTCGTGGGAGCTCCAATGAATGGCGGTGACGAAATCAGCCCAGGCACAGTTGTGGTGCTTGATCCGCACCTCATGATTGGCATTGGCGCGAATGCCTCTACCGCACGCGTGGTGGTACATAAATTGAACCTGGTGTCCCAAGATGCGCAGCCCTTCATGAAGGCCCCCTCGTGGATTACAGCGTGGCGCTCACTTCCTGCGGAAGTGAACTTCGCCTCCCCAGTCGTCTTCCCGCCGTTCTTCCGAGAAGCAGCTCCTTAAGTGCAGTGCACTCTATCTCACACATGCACACACACACACACACACACACACACTCACTCACTCACTCAGAGAGAGAGAGAGAGAGTAAGAGAGATAAAGATGATGTGTAGTTCCTTGTCTGTTTCACCCCTTATCGTGGTGTCATTGAGAATATAGGGCAGATGAGACGTTCTGTTTTGTGTAGCGGCGTACAAACTGCCTGTTACAATGACCCCCTTTTTTTTTGTTCGTATAGTCTTTCTTCTGTGGAGGAGTGTCAACTCCGTGTTGCATATAGAAGTAGCTTATTCAGGTGCATGGATGAAAACCTTGTGGAGTTGCAGGGGCGCCTGACTGCAGCAGAAGATCGTGTTCGAAAGATGACACACTTGATGCTGCGTGCGGTATGGCAGTACGTTATACACCACCGTACATCTCCCATATCGGTTAAGAATTCGTGTGTTTCAGGCGCCAGAGAGAAAGTGCGCCCAGGTGCTGCTGTACCGCGACAAGTTTACAAGAAGAGTGATCCAACACCGACTCAACGTAGAAAGAGCAAGGGAGGTGTGGCGGACCAGGCCCGGCTAAGCCGTGAGCTGTACCGAACAGCTTTTGGAGCGGCACGCCAGCAGGTAGAGGAAGAGGCGACTTTGGGTAATTCTGAAGAAAATGGCAAGTGTGATGGTGTGCCTTCCGTGGCTTTGCTTTTGCTGCAATCTTCTCGGCAGCGAGCCATTATGGCTTTGTTTCTGTTGCGGCTTCGCTTAGCAGTGCACCAGCGGCGTTTTCTCCACGCTGAGTGTGAGATGCGCTACAACTATTATAAACTCCGCCGGACGCTGCGGGCGTGGCACCAGCACGCACGAGCGTCCACCTGCAGAAGACGGAGAATTCTCGAACATGTGTTACAACACTGGGTGGGATTTGTTCAACGACGTCGGCGCAAGCAAGACATCCTGCGTCGTTTTTGCGCAGGGCTAGTGAGGAGGCTTCATGCATTTGAGGCTGTTCGAGGGCGAAAGTTGCAGCAGTGTTTCATGCGCTGGCGTCAGCGTCTTGATGTATGCCGAATGGTGCGCGGTATGGAAGAATGCGCAACGAAGATGAGGAGGCGGCATAAGTACATTGAGGTTGATTCTACCCACCTGCGTGCAGGGGGATTTCTCATCATGGACCGTGTCTTCTCGCATTGGAAAGGAAAGACGGAACGTCGACTGGATGCACGACTGGCCGAATTGATGTACAGGCGGTTGTTGTTGCGTCATTCATGGAACAAACTCGTATGGCAATATGAATTCGCAAGGCAACAGCACACGCCCTCACCTTCCTCCACGTCATGCGAAGAGGTGGTGGTGCACGTAGACCCCCAGCCAGGTAAGCTCATGGTGTTTAAGGATCAATGTGCAGAGAAAATCGCCCAGGGGAGGTTGAAAAAGGCTGCTTTCGTAAAGTGGCGTTCACACTACCGCAACATGCTTTCAGATTGTTTTTTTGTCTTTAGCCGTCGCGTGCGAGTGTTGGAAGCGTGGATGCAGGCTCTTCGACGACAACGGGCTGCGCGCCTTATGCTAAAGGCGTGCTGGTGGCGTTGGCGTCAGCGCCTCCATTGCCGGCTGCAATACATACAAAGCCTCTACTGGAGGCGTCTGTGCCTGCTTCGGCGTGCCATGTTGCTCTGGCGTGACGAGGCGGCGAGCCGCCACCTCTGTAACCGCCACGCTCTGCAGTCATGTTGGGGCGTGTGGTGGCGGCGTGCTATGCTTTGCCGTGCACAGCGGCGGCTTGCCGTCGGTGCGCAGAGGCGTGCGTTGCTCGCATGGCGTGGTATCGCGGCGCGCGAGAAGCAGTACCGTACTATGTCGTGCCTGGCGGAATCGCTGCGGGAGCTGGTTCTTTTAGTTGGCTGCTTTCGGCGCTGGAAGGGGCGTCACGAACACGCGTGTCGTGTGCGCCTTGCTGAGGGCATACTTGGTGATTTGCGCCGCGAGAAGCAGCGGGCACGGCTGTTTCAACGCTGGAAGCGGTTAACGTTCTGGCCTCGTGCAGGTGTGAAGGCGGATTAGTTCTGTTGGCCGCAGTCTGTGAGGGTGCGTCTGTCTCGCCCTCACTCGCGCATGCACGCACATACACTTTTCTTTTTGTACATTGCGCCTTTGCTTTTTTCTTGTTTTTTTTTTTTTTTNTTTTTTTTTTTTTTGTCGGTCGGTGACACAAAAAAAAATTCCTTACGAGGGTAATGATCGGTATCGCTATGGGTCCGCTCTCTTCGTCGTCGTTTTTGTTGTCGTTTGGCCGAACGCACCAACGTCGGAAACAGCAATAAGACAGTTGATGTAGTTCTTTTTTCATTGGCTTTGCTTTTCTTATCTGCTCAATGCTTATTGTTCTCTCCCCTGCCTGCAGCGAGGAAGCTCAATAAAATACTCGAGGGAAAGAAGAAAGAAATACAACTCTCATTATCAAAGGAATACACCACTTTAAGTAATTTATATGGTACTTGAGCAAATGGTCGACCAAAGCACAGAGTACGATATCCAAGCCGAGCTGGAGCGCATCAATGCAAGCATTGAGAACTACGCAGTTCAGCTGGACGCCATCAACGGCGCAATTCAAACCATTGAAGAGGAGAACCAAAACGATGATGTGTCACGCCAGATTGTTGAATACCAGACGAAGTGGGAGAGCAACCCCGCAAGCATACCAGCGGAGGATGCGCTAGATACCATCACACGACTGGAGAACACACTCAGGATTGTGAAGCGACGCAACCACCTCCTCACCCGGGAGAACACGACGCAGGAGAGGCTGTTGCAGGATCGATCCAAGCTTCTGCTCAGGGAAACGAAGGTGTTCGACGAAATCCTGAGCAAGACGGGCTGGTATGAGCAGTACTCAGCAGACTTTGAGGAACAGGCGCAGAAGGCGGACGACATACGGGAGATGACACGTCTTGAGGCCACAGTGCAACGTGAGCTGCGCGCCGCACAATCGATTATCAAAAAGAAGGAAGCCGTCGTTCGCGATCTCGAGAGGCAGGTGGAGACTGGCGGTGAGGTGGAAGCGCTGCTGAACAACGTGTACAATGACATCCGTGTGAAGGAGCGTGACTCCCGCGAAGTGGAAATGAAACTCGCGAGGATGCGCAAGGACAACGAGAGGAACGATAAAGCGCTTACTCTCTTCGAGACACAGAAGCAAAACGCCTCCTTGACTTACATGGAGAACGACCGAGAGTTCCTCAAGGAGGCTGTAGTGCAGATGAAGGGAGTCTGCCGCCGTCAGGACAACGTCATCAAGGCACAGATCACTCGTCAGCAGCAGCTGCATGCCCGCCTTGACACCATCATGAAGTCCCTCCGTGAGATGAAACTGGAGAAGGAGTACGAACGCAACGTATCCAAGTCGGCGCTGGTCCCTTCGGCATCACGCGAGGAGCCAGAGGACGTCTCTAAGATTCTACCAGAGGGTGAGAATGTTCCGATTCACACTTACCGCCTCATTCACAAGAATAATGAGATGATGAACACCAACGTAGCCCGGAAGAATATGCTGGTGCTAGAGAAGGAGGGTGTCATTCAAGCTATGGAGGCAAGCTTGCTCAAATACGCCAACGCGTTGAACATGACCTCCAAGCAACAAGAGGATCTGAAGCTGAACAAGGATCTTGAGATGGATGAGCTCATGAAAGAGCTTCAAGACCAGCACAAGAATTACCTGTCTCAGCTTGAGCAGATCATGCAGGAAAACAACCAACTCAAGAAGAAATTATACCGTGTGGCACCTTCACGTGCCTCAATCAGAAATCACTAGGCAAAGAATTGGTGCGAGCGAGCGAATGAATGAGATGAAAAAAAAAATATCAAAAGCACCCCCAATGAGGAGCAGCTTTGCCACGCTGTAGATAAAAATACGTATGGTGTAGGGTGAGAGATGAAAAGAAAGTAAGAGGGAGGGTGAGAGAAAACTCCACACCTGATAGTGTCAACAAGCAGTCAAAAATGAAAAGGATGCAAAAAAAAAAATGCAATTGACACAAATTCCCTTTGCTTTCCTCTGTATGTTTTTTTACTGTATGACGCCGTATCTTTCGATGTCTGTTCGGATGTGCTTCTCTTGTTAATTGTGAAGAATGGGAGCGTCCCATAACCCGGGCGGCAAGCGACGTGGAGGGTTACAAGCAATAAGCAGCGCTAACGGCAGGCAATGCCTACTCAGAGAGATGTGAGATCGCCACCGTCACGTAGTTAAATGCGCTTTTCTCTTACCCTTCTTCTTGTTGTTGTTTGTTGCTTTTTTTTATTGGCTGGCTATGTGTATTTAGGGCAGGAAAAAAGGTAGACGAACTGTTATCAATAGATAGCAGGTGGACAGATAGAGTCAATACATACGAGACACACTTACCATGTGGTTGTTTTCACGTGGTGGTAGTAGTAGTAAAGGTGCCGCCGAACAGGGGACAGTGTCTTCGTTCCCTAATGCCGCTGACGCCCAGACGGTGTTGTTGAAACAGACGAAGGGCATTGGCCACGAAGAAGGCATATTGTCCCCGTCACTAATAGACCGTACAAAGAGCCAACAACTCGCCATCAAAAAAGGCGATGGCCGCGTGTCCTTCTTTGACACCGATGCAATCGACTGTATAGTGAAACGCTACACGAATGAAATGACTGTCGCCGATCGGCAGATGAAGCAAAAACAGGAGAAATACGACAAGAGTCTTTTACATTTATACGACTACGAAGGGGATAGAAGATATAAACAATGGCTCACGGACCAAGAACGCGTGCATGAGAATCTCAAAATTCATTGGTTGGATATGATGATCGACAAACCCTTTCACTGTCTAACGTACCTGGCTAGAGTTGGAACCACAATAGGATTCTTCTACGGCTTGGGACGCTCGCTTTACCTCTATCGTACAATGGACAAAATGTATGCCAAGCTCCATGGCGTCAGTTTCTCAAATATTGCAATTTACGAAATAAGTCTATCTGTCATCAAGTGGGCTCTCGTGTCGGCTGCTGGGACAGTGGGTGTTGTTGCTGGTGAGGCTATGACGAACATCGTGGTAACCGTCGCCACGGGGGATATATCCGTGCCAGATCGCACATGGGTTAACATATGGGCGTGTGGAACTTCATGTGGCTTGTTCGGTGGGGGGGTGTTTGCCGCGCTCCACGCCTCTTTGCTAACGTTCAGGGGGATGTCAGCAGCTGTTGCTGGCTTCACTACCATCAGCTCCCTCGCTGGGCTTACACTTGGCCGACGTGTCTACCATCCCTACGCTTCTGGGCGTCAGAATCGTATTTACGACCCTTACTGGCGTCCATGGTATGAGAGAAGGCTTAACGACGGCGGCGGGTCATACATGCGAGGAAAGTACACGTGAAAAAGCCTAAGGTAATACCAAATGCATGACTTATACAAGCTATGGTATTTGTGCTATGCTATGCTATACTCAAATCACTTATTCTCACCCTTCGCCAAAAAAAAAAGGGACTAACCAGAAAAGCTATACATCTAAAATGTCTACCTACGTCCACAACTACCTGTCCGACGCAGTCAGGCGCAACAGGGTCATGGCGATTATGCAGTTCCTTCCGATGGCGTTGGAGGGGCCCGTGAGGAATGCTGGCTGCGACTCGCTCGCCCAGTCGCTCGGCAGCCTGTCGAAGATGGCGGATGCCTACCGTGCAGTTAACCGTTTGGCTTTGGTGTTTAATGCACTTGCGCCCGACACTCTGAAGAGTCTGACGAAGCCAAAGGAAGACAACGTTGTGGCCCGCATTGAGCTGATCTCGCACATATTCCACATTGGATTCTGCTTTAACGAGTCTACATTTGTTCTGGCGCGCTTTGGTGTGCTGAGGAGCGAGCTGATGCGCTTTGGTGGACTTGCCGTGACATGCTGGCTGTACACGTTGGTGCTGGGCATCATCCGCCAGGCATACCTATTGGCGAAGCACAGCCTTTGCTGCTGCTCCAGTGCATCAGATGCTCAGGGGAAGAAGGTTGTTCCGTACACGCGCGAGGAGTGCAAGCGTGCTGTGGTGACCCTCGTGAAACTGAGCTGCTACGCCGCGTTTGCAATGACATGCCTCCCCAAGGGCAAGCCGCAGCTGTTGCGCGAGGTGAGTGGTCCCTTGGTGCCCCTGCACAAGCTGATTTCGGCAATGGCGCCGAACAAGCTCATGCTGAACGACAGCATGCGTGGGCTTTTGGCGCTCACCGCGTCTGCGTGTGATTTCTACTAGGGAAACTTCAGCTCTGGCCGGTGACCGGTCGTATAAGAAGTCATTTAAAACTGTTTTACATGTTTTTTTTCCTGCCCAGGCTTTAAAAAGGGCGTTAATTTCATCAAAAAACACACCAGAAAAAAAACGAAATGTATGTGCCGACTGTGGTGGAGGCAACGGCAGGCGGTCTGGTGCCGCAGCGGGACTCCGGCACTCTCTGAGCTACCTGCCTGCCGCCGCCCCGAAACGTCTGGGATGTTTTAGCCTGGATCGTTATGTGTTGTCCCTCTGCTGAATGGACGCCGTAAAAACCGTGGAATGGGTACTTTGTAGGTATTCCATTCCTCCTCCTCCGCAGCACAGGCATGGGTGCAAAACTTTCCGGAAAAAAAATCCTAATGTTGTTCTTAACCAAATGCAGTGGCGGACAAGAGTTAAACCGCTATGGGTTTAGCCACATTGTAAAGGCTGTAGTACATCTTTGCTCTTTTCATTTCCATTTGCGTGTTGAAAAAGTGGCGCGTTCACTGATTCTTGAAGGTAGGGAACCACGCCACCAAATCGTTTTTGCCTTTTTTTTCAGAAAAAAGGATGCTTGGCGACATTGTAAAATTAACATTCGGTGCCGTGCTAGGTATAATGTTCTGCCTCTTGTTCGTTGGTGACGCGATGGAAACAAATAAGAATCAAAACTGCAATGCTTGCTCTCCAAAGACCGAATTGCGGCGAAATACGCGGCGGTTGTCGCCAATTAAAAAAGAACGGTCGGGCATGTGTTCCGTGTGTTTGTCGAAACAAGCGACTGTGCTGTTTCTTCAATGCCGACACTTGGCGGCATGCGGGGAGTGTGCTGCACAGCTTTTGAGGAAAGGCATGCATCGCTGTCCGATCTGTAATCAAATATATGAAAGGACCATCAATGTGTACGTTCCCTGAACCTATTCTCTTTTGTTTTGCGTTCAGCGTTCTGGTGTGTTTCATATAAAGTCAACCAACCTCTAGAAGAGCGGAGTACGGGCGATTGTTTCCTCCGCATCTGTTTTCGATTTGGATGAGTTACACAGTATTCATTTGCAGTACGTGAAAGTTCCGACGTGCCGCTATGCGCGAGTGAGCTGCAAGCGCGCGTCTCCACTGGTACCGTTCTTATCCCAGACTGGCCTTTTGCTTCTTTTCCAGTGCCTGCGCATTACACCTCCCTACACTGCGCCAATGTGTGTGCTGTGTCTTTCCATCAACGTTTCTTTGCTTGTGTGGTTGTGTGACTGCTACTCTGTTTATTTATATGTTCTTCTCTTTCTTTCTTTCTTTTTGTTTTGTCTTGGCGCGCGCATTCGTCGTGTCGGTAGATTTCACATTTTTTCGTCAACCTACAGCCTATTACACTCACCGCACCAGACATGTCTGCCCGCATCCACAACTACCTCTCCGACACGTGGAACCGTGACAAGGTCATGGCGATTGTACAGTTCCTCCCGATGGCGTTGGAGGGACCCGTGCAGAATGCCGGCTGTGGCTCGCTCGCCCAGTCGCTCGGTAACCTGTCGAAGATGGCGGATGCCTACCGTGCAGTCACCCGTCTTTCACTTCTTTTTAATGCACTTGCGCCCGACACTCTGAAGAGTCTGTCGAAGCCAAAGGAGGACAACATTGTGGCCCGTATTGATCAAATCTCTCACGCGTTCCACATTGGATTCTGCTTTAACGAGCACACAGCCGTGCTGGCGGGTCGTGGCGTGCTGAGGAGTGAGCTGTCGCGCTTTGGCGGAATTGCCGTGCTGTGCTGGCTGTACACTTTGGTGCTGGGCATCATCCGCCAGGCATACCTGTTGGTGAAGCATAACCCCAACTGCTGCTGTGCCATTGCACCTGAGTCTCAGGAGAAGAAGAAGGTTGTTCCGTACACACACGAGGAGTGCAAGCGTGCTGTGGTGACCCTCGTGAAGCTGAGCTGCTTCACCATCTTTGCAATGACATGCCTCCCTGAGGGCAAGCCGCAGCTGTTGCGCGAGGTGTGTGGCCCCTTGGTGCCCCTGCACAAGCTGATCACGGCAATGGTGCCAAACAAGCTGCAGCTGAGCGACAGCCTGCGTGGGCTGCTGGCGTTCACCGCGTCTGTGTGTGATTTCTACTAAATTCTTTTATTTGGCAACATGGGATAGTGATGAGGGAGGCAAATACAAAATGAGGAATACAAAACGGTTTTTTTTTGATATAGGGTTTTTGGTGGTTTCAGATGATCTGCCATCATGTCGATCAAATGATAGCACTGCATGAGGTGGTGAGATCAAGCGCGATGCTGGTGAGGCTCATCGGTGGTGTTGTGTTATAGAGGAAGACTTGTTTCGCGTTTCTTTCAAAAGATATGCTGGGAGAGGGAGAGAGCTGTGTCTAGATAGTGCCATCCAGGTGTGAAGGCTTATTGAAGGCAAAGGAAAACCAAAAGAGAAAAAACGGATGTAAGAGGGAATTGAGTAAAGCAAGTCTTTTGAAACGCGGTTTTTTTTTTTGTTGGTTCTGTTTAGTTGTTTTTCTTTGGTTGTTTCAATTCCCCTTTTTGAGCGTGAAAGGTCATAGGATCCGTTCGTTTCGGCCTTTACATTCCTCTACGTGGTGTGTCGTGGTTGTCTGCTCTGTTTGTCGTCGTGACGGCTTGCGATATGTGAGGTGACCGTTGTGTTTCAGTCTCTTTTTTCTCCTACAGCTTAGTAGCGCGTGTTTTGGTTGGCCCGATTTTCTCTGTCGCCAGGGATGAGTGGCCGGTCCTTTGACACGCACCACCCGAAGACATGGCAGCGTGATCGACTTGTCGCTGTCGCTGAGTACACTGGCGTGCTAGCCAGTGGCCTCGCGGAGTCTGCGGGGTACATCTCTGTCGAGAGATCCGCGCGAGCCGTCGCTCGGCTTCTATCGGAGTACCGCTGCATCACGCGGATATGCAGTTGGTTGGTGGTGTTGGGCGACCTCTCACCGGCTGGTGTGCGCCGGATAGTGCACGCGTCGCCGGGTATCTTCACTGTAATTGCTCGCATTGCAACAACAGTTGCCTTGGGGTTGTTCCTGCTGAGCGAAGAGGTGGCGCTACTGGCTGCGGGAGGCGTGGTGCGTGGATCGTTGCGCCCGTACGCTGCCCGATTGGTGCCTATATTCTTCTTCTTTTACAACCTTTTGAAAATGGCAACGAGCGTTGCGCTGCTTCGGGCGACAAAACGCATATCGTTTGAGGCCACTGACACTCAGAGTGTCATACGCAAACGGCGGTACAAGGAGTTGTTTGTCACATTTATGGAGGGCACTGGATACATGATATACGCCATGACGTTGCTGCCTACTAATACACCACGCCTCACACAGGCGTTGCGTGAAGAGCGTTGGGTTGATCGCTCATACGCTGTGCTGTCCTCTCTGTGCCCGCAGGCGGTGCGGGTGAGTTCGACTACGCAGGGGATCATCGGACTCGTGGCGACTATTCCTTCGTTCTTTGGGTCGTCGTGAGGGCTGGGATTGGCACACCACCCGAGGGAGAGTTGCCCCGAAACAACAATTGAGGGTGTCAACATAAAAGAAAAAAAAGAGCGAATTAAACAAAAAAAAGGAAAAAAGAGGGAAAACCTCCATTTTTTTTTTTGTTTTTTTTTTGGTAGCTCTATGAAAGACAAAAAAAAAAAGAAAGGAAGAAAGAAGCTGTTGCGAAGTGGCATATCTGCGTACATCACTATCTTTCACTCTGCTCGAGTTGTTTGTGTGAGCTGAAATCACAAAGATATCTCTGGTGGTGCGTGTGGCATGACTTGCCTTTTTTTTTGCCTTGATTATTATTATTATTGTTTCTGGTGGTGCCGTCTTCTGTCTATTGCACCGGCGGCTCTAAAAGGGGGTGTTGAAAGGAAAGTCAAAATGAGCGTCATGCCCTTTGATCATCAGGACAAGTCAACATTTCTTTCCATCCGGCGACAGGCACCGCTTCGCTCCATTATTTCACCCTCTCTTATGGTGGCGGACTCGACGCAGCTGCTGCTGGATTCCCTCCACGTGCTCTCCTCCGAGGGTGGGGCCGTTGACTGGCTGCACGTGGATGTTATCGATGGTCACTTTGCGCCGAACATGTCCTTCTGCCCCGACACTGTGTCTGGGATTCGTCATCACCTTCCTCATGTCTTCCTTGATGTGCACATCATGGTGGAATACCCCGACATGTGGGTGAAGCCGTTTGCCGAGGCCGGAGCATCGCAGCTTACTTTTCACCTGGAGGCTTCGAAGGACCCGATTGCGCTGGCGCAAAAAATCCGGGCGGCTGGCATGCAAGTTGGTATTGCCATCAGTCCTATGACGCCAATCGACAACCTCATTCCGGTTATCGATGGCGGCCACGTTGACATGGTGCTCGTGATGACGGTAGAGCCTGGCTTTGCAGGGCAAATATTTATGCCAGGTCCTCTTTCAAAGGTGCGACAACTGCGTGGGCTCTACCCACAATTGAATATTCAGGTGGACGGTGCCATCAACCTCGACACTGTAGACGCCGCTGCTGCTGCTGGGGCCAACTGTTTTGTTCCAGGGCAGGCCGTTTTTAAGGCCAAGGATCGAAAAGAGAGTGTTAAAGAGATGCGGTGCACTATCGAACGTCACTTGAAGAGATCACGCCTTTGAGAGGAAAACAACAACAACAACAACAAATAGCAAAACGGCATCTCGGTGGTGCAATAGAGCAAAGACCTTCGTGAAGGCCAAGTTGGATCTCGCCTATTGTGGCATCTTCACTTTCAGGGAATACAAAGCGCGAATGTACGAATTGCATAGTTTTTTGGGTTTTTTGTTTTGTTGGGCTGTGAGCATGACGCAATTGTTTTATTTCGGAATAGTGGGAGTCCCTTTTATGGATAAAGATAAAAGCTTTGTAGGCATGCGTCGTTCGATTGATGATATGGTCTCCTGCTGTCTTCTACTTTTCTTTTGCGAAGTAGGAGCACCAGCACTATTTGTGACGACAAACTATGCCGAGCTACACGGATGAGCGGATCCAAGCCACCGTCTCGGAGCTGAAGCCAAAGTTCCTCAAGGCCTTCAATGTAGCGTCAGAGAACGACGTCGAGTGGCTTCTCTTCACGTTTGCCCCTGGTCGTGTCAACTTCATGGGAGAGCATGTTGATTACATGGGTGGGTACGTGTGCCCCGCCGCGCTCAAGGAGGGGTGCCATATTCTTGTCGGTCGCGTGCGGCACTACCACGACGGGAAGCTGCGCTTTGCCACGGAGGATGGCAAGTATTTCGCACTAGACCGTCTTGGCCGGGCCAAGCATGACAAGACGTGGACAACATTCATTCGCGGTGCGGCGACACTGGGACTGAACCATCTCGGTCTACCCATTGATGCACCGGAGCTACAGGGGTTTTGCGCCATCTCAAAGGGCACGCTGCCGATGGGCTCCGGCATGAGCGCTTCCGCCTCCTTTGACGTGACGCTGCTCTATGCCATCACGACGGTGGCGACGCGGCGGCACACGGCGATGCGTTATGTGCCTGGCACGCCCTACCCGATTCTTCCGCCGCGTAGCAGGGATGAACTCATTACGCTGGCAAAACAAGCGCGTCTCATAGAGACGGAGTTTTGTGGTGTCAACGTTGGTATTATGGATCAGTTTTCCTCGATCCATGCGACAGAGGGATCATTCATGGCACTTGATTGCGACTCCTTGACATTTAAGTCGTATTCCTTGAAACCTCTGCTTGGAGACTCTTGTTGTTTCCTTTTGATAAACTCCATGATTCGTCACGAGCTGACTGGCTCAACAGCGGGTGGATACAATACGCTGCGCAGCGACGCCGAGGGTGCGCAGGTGGTGGTAAGCCAGCGGAAGTTGAATGGTGCGCCGTTCAGCTTCCGTGAACTTGCCAGAACACCGCAGAGGTTTACAGAGGAGGATCCAGTTGCCTTTGTGGAGTCGTGCAAGCCCTACTTTACACCTGGTCAATACGATCGTGGCATCTTCAACATCGCTGAGCAGATCCGCACGCTAAAATTCATCGAGCTTTGCACTCCCGAGTGCCCCCTTAGCCAGGAAGAGCGCTTCCGAAAGGCTGGTGAATTGCTGAATGCGACCCACCAAGGGCAGCGCGACCTCCTCAAGATCTCCACTGATGAGCTCAACTTCATTCATGAAGCCATCAACCGTGAGGAAGGTGTGAGCGGCGGCAGGCTGATGGGTGGTGGCTTCGGTGGCTGCATTGTTCTTCTTCTGAAAAAGAATGCTGTGGAGCGTGTGGTACAAAATGTGCAGAGTGGCTTCAAGGCGAAGTTTGGCGTTGTGTGTGAGGTGTACCCTGTTGTGCTGGGTGGTGGAGCCTTTATTGCCTCGTTGTGGGAGGGGGCACATGGAAAATTGTAAATCAGGAGCAAGGGTTGTTACAATTCATGGCGTCTTTTTTCTTTTTCGTCTTGTTTTTTTATTTTATTTTCATTTTCCATCTCTTCCGCATCCGCCCATTAGGCAATGATGTGGCGGGTGCGTGCTGAAGATATCAAAACGCAACCAAG